AAGCCAAAGTGGAAATAAATACTGCATTCAACCAAAAGAGTCCAGATTATGAAGTCTGTATACTATATTGCCCTTCAGTAATCACTAGATTTAAACCCTAACCCCTAACCCTAATGCAAAAGTTCACACTACACGATTTTTTTGCCCCCATTTTTCCCTTACGACAATCTTAGAACGTTGGCCGATCTAAGATTGTCGCTGGTGATTTCGTAACCGATCATCATGTAGTGTGATTTAGGTCGTCGTGGCCGCTCCGATCTAAATCAGGGGTTTTTCCCGACTGGGAGCTTAACGCTGAATGTGACATGTAGCCAATCAGAAAGCGCGGACTCTCCTCCTGATTTCTGAGGGGAAATTACGGAGGGGAATCCCAAACAGCTGACACGGCGCAACCCGAAGTCCAGCAGACATTGGAGATGATATGTGGAAACAATAATATTTATTCAACATTTCATGCAAAGAATATAGAAAGGACAAGGGGAGGAGTTGGAGCCAAACTGCTACATAGTTGATAAACCCGGTAACTTTTTAGCTGCTCTTTGTTAAAGTGACATAAATAGGTTATGATTTTCATTCAGTCAGGACTTACGCTGACTCTAGCCAAATGCGTCACAGGTAGATTCTAGTAAAGCACTGATTAATGCCAGATTTAAAAATTAGTTAACTGGACTTGTAGCCATTATTTTGGGCTACACGTCGATAGGTTTAATTTATCGTGCGATTAATTGATTTATCGTTTATCGTGACAGGCCTAACTGCATAACTTTCAATAAATTACTTTAAACAAGCAACTTTTTAGACATGTTTTTAGATTATCAAAAGGTGTGATAAGTTAAAGTTTTAGATAATAATAGGTTTCTTTAAAAAAACAACAAAAAAAACAATATGCTTTCATTTCACCAAGACCATAGACATATTTATTATCTCAATCTTTATTTACTTTAACAATTGAAAATTTAATAGCATATTACAATGGCTGTAACCACTGTACAAAAGTAAAACTTGTTATCTCAACACATGCCATACAGAATCTGAAATAAATAGGACTTTAATGCCAAATGTCTGTATGTACAGGTAAGCAAATTTTCGCCATCTATAAATACCACTGTACAAACTCGCTGAAGTGGCTTCAGTAACAGGCTCTCCTGTAAACTGAGATCTCGTAAATACAAACAACTAACCTTTAAATTATACTTCAGGCTACTAAGGGTTTAAAAATGTGAGCTGCAAGAAGAAAATGGATACAAAGTCAATTAGGATAACAACAGGCCTTCGCAGCGCTTAGCTGCTCGGGCCTAATAACAAAGCTGCCAAGACCAAAAAAAAAAAAAAAAAAAAAATTAAAACCAAATTTAAATTTGGGGAAAAAAAAATTTTGGGTGCCCCCCCA